GTTGAGAGTAATTGATCCCGAGGGGCGCTTTCTGTTCTGACAACACTGCATTGACCGAAGGAGTTAGTGACTTCAATCACCCGTCACCCAGCAGACTGGAGATTATCAAAGCCTAAGGTTAGCAAGGGATATTGTCAGCCTATAATCTGGCCCTAAGTCCAGCTGAATGCGTGATGTGTTAAGCACTTGGGGGAATGTAGATTTAAAACCTTCCCGCGATAATATTCGAAGGCTTGACTAAACTGAAAGAACGAAACTTACAACAGTAATGCATTTTACGTGCTGCTTGTGTTTTCTCGTCAGAGGTCTGAATTCCAATGTAGAACAGTATAACCTACTGTACGGAGAATTAGGTAAGGGAAAATGCCGGTAACATGAAAGTGGGGTTAATATCACGGAGGGGATGGCATCCCCCGCGCGTAATTTTTTTCGAAGACGGGGCTACCGCGTTGACAGCCTCGTCATAATCCCGCCCAGACGGGACCCAGCCCCTCCTGGCCCCTGGGGCTGAACCGGGCTGGTGCTAGCAGGGAAGTGCCTTGGTCATTTTGATGCGGTATGCGCAGTCTTTTTCAGCAATATTCCGGCAATGCCCAGCGTATGCGTTTTCGCATCAGTTTTTATAGCTCAGCTGGCCAGGCATGTTTATCTTCTCGCATTGTTCCCTATGTTGTAATCATGCACAACTGATAGCTCAGGGCAATTACACATTTGCTTAGTTAGAGTGCGTCATTGGTCCTGATGTCCTGGCTAATAAATCTTCATCACGGTCATTCTTTCGTCACGACATTTTTCAGATATATTTTGATTGGAGTATTGCAAAACGCCCGGGTGCCTCGTAAAATACTCGAGTTTCGTTTTGGCCAAATCGCCATGTTCACACGCGGTTAATATAGTGCCCGTTTGTTATCCCGGCTCATCTATCCAACCTACCATTCGGGTCATTCCAACCGACAACCAATGCAGCAACATGTTATCGGACAAACGGACGAAGCACATACAGGAAGACCAGAGGGCCAGTTCAATTGCCTTACTCACACAAATGCAACGGAATTCATGTCCGGAATCCAGTGAGAGATCTAAAGAAATCCGATTGAATAAGGCATCACCCATTTCATTTTCGATCCAGACAGGGGCGTGTATTTCGAAGCTTTGTGCTAAAAGTCGGGAGGATTACCCGAAGAGTAGGGAGCGGAATCGACGACGAGACGATGGTGGAGGTCGTGCTGTTCGAACTGGCTCAGGAAACACGAGTCATGCGTTATCCTTATTCTGCCTCAGAAACCATCAGATGTCAAATACACAGTCAGACATTTAAGTGCACTATTCTGTTCTACAAAGTCGTTAATTAATCAACGTTTTGAGTGTTTCAAGCTAAAACATAGTCCCGAAGAAGATTATTTTGATTCAGCCGGCCGAGTTGGAGATAAATTTCAGCAGTCGGGTCTGGAGCAGACCACCAGCACGCAGGTTAAGGCAGTTTCTCATTGGGTCGTTAAGGGTGACAGAAGATGCAGATGTGCATACGGGATTACTCGCTGAGCTAAACCAGAAAGGTGATATGACAGTACAAGAACTGTCAGAGGAGTGTCAAGCACGACATCCTGTTTATTGGAAGCGTGCACAGTCAAACCGTTTACGTTTTCGACATCAGAAAACCAGGACAACATAAATCGAGGATAAAGCGATCTTAGTTCCAAAATCTCAGTTCTGTCTCATTGACGAAATTAGCAGTGTTGTGCACAGTACTACCGCAGACGTCCGGAAGGAGAAGTATATGGCAGAGATGGAGAACACGGCCGGCAGGTGCACAAAGATTAAGATAAGTCTAAAAGTGAAGCCGGGAAGAAAGCTAGTTTTTAAGCAGATTCGACAGATCCCGCTTGCGATACAGCCGCTTGTAGAAGCTGAACTAGAAATACTACAGGCAAAAGGCGTAATCTGTCCTACCAATTATTCAGCTTCGATTGCCCCAGTCATGGCGGTGAAGAAACCAAACGGACGAATACGGTCGCGTGAGGACTATTCCACTGGTTCAAACGATGCACTAGAAGATTGCCACTACCCCCTACCAACCCTATATCAGATTTTCGCGACTGAATTGAGGGAAAGTCTTTGCAGTGACCGATCTATCCGAGGCCTACTTACAAATTATAGTGGACGATAAATCGCAGGAACTTCTTTTCATCATTACTCACAGGGGTCTCTTGAAATAAGTAAATAAATGCATAAATTGTTTTGTTTAGTACCCCTAAGGGTACTATTATAGCAAATAAAATAAATTTTCGAGTAAATCCTAGGTCAAGCACGCAGTCACTGTACAGTGTTCAGTTCATGCTTGTAAAATGGGCAGTCTGATGTGAAAGACTGTTAGCAGACAGTGAAAATACCCCGTATTTTGAAAAATGCAAAATGGGTGTGGTTGATTTAGGTGTTAGGGATAAAGGTGTCGCACAGTGTGTTTGCAAATCGTAGGTTTTCTTTTGGTTTAACCATAAACAGGATTCCTATTAAGCATTTAGGACGGCTGTCAAATTTTCATCTTGTTGTGCAGCCGTGTGCGGTAACATCATTTAAAGAAATTAAACATCAGCCGGTAAATAGTGGGCTATTTATCATCCATATCTGTTGTTCGTTAGGCCATTGGGATCGCAATCGCAGCAAATAGTGTCTCTTCGTCCATATTCATGACCTTAAATGTCACAGATGTCCTTGAGCTAAGTTGTGGGCATACTGCTTTGTTGTCTCAGGATCAGCGCTTCCCTTCATTGACCGTCAGTAGCCTCTTTGACCGTCAGCGTCGGTTGAAGGACTTCCTCTACAAGGCGCACTTTAGTTTTTTTTCGTATAAGCCGATCATGCCTGTTCTCGATTTAAGCAAATTTGTCTCGGATCAGCCCCCTTGGTGCAGGACAGTTATGAAAACATGTGTCTTATGTTTGTAAACATCGTTCATTTATTTCCAGAAAACAACAGCTTGCAGTATTTGCCGTTGGCCAAAAAAGGACAAACGGAGAAAAGTAAACCGAAGGCGGGATCGGGCGCAATGGCTGACGTAGCCTAATAGTCTGACCACGTCGGCCACATGCGCGTGGTCCGCGCACAATGGACCAGGATTCCACACTGACGACATAGGGGACAGCTCGGGTAGTGGATTCTGTCCGGCGGACAGTTCGTCACACGCAAACAATTTGCTGACAAGAAAGACAAAGTCTTCCGAGTAAGTGAGTCCTGCCGTCTCCTATCCGTCCTTATGTGCGCTACCGTCGAAGGCGTCGCAAAAAAACCACCAAATACGTCGTTTCTTGCGTTAAATGTAACTGGATTATTTGGTGGTTTTGTTGGTGCACCCACAGCCAATGCAGTTTGCCTACTTGGTATACGGCTTTTTAGGCGTTTTCATGGATTCTTTCCCCGAAGCGTTTTGTAGTTTTGTCAGGTATTTGTACACTTACAAGAGGTCTTATTACCGAGCATTTGTTAGGTTGCATTTTAGATAATTCTTATCTCCCCACCCATACAGCCCTGATCCCCACGTCAGACCTATATTTTTGATGATTCGTCAGCTGATTTTTGACCGGGGGGATGTGGCAGTAAGGGTTTCTAACCGTCGTCAGCCCGGGTCACGGCGTTTCGTGAGTGTCGAACATTTCAGCTCCACCAACCTGCTTCATATTACTGAAGTTATTTCAGACCTCATCGAGCCCATTGGTCTTATAAGTTGGGCTTAGGTGCGCTGAGGTAGCAAGCCGCTACCACTTCCGGAGCATTGGTTTTTGTGATGTCACCGTCTCCTCCGGTCCCACTTCCGTGCGTGCAGTTTGTCTATGTTTCTGCATGCTAAGGAATTTTGGACTGTTTTACTTCACTGGCCGGACATGCACTTCGCACTCTTTGCTCCTCGTATCAGCTGAGTCAGTAATTTGTTACAAGGTGGGCATTCTACTCCAATTCGTACAGCAGTTCACATATAAGTCGAGATTTTGTAACATTTGCAAGCAAAGCCCTGTAAAGCAGATACCATCCGCCCGATCCCAGCAAGAATTGAGATCGATTTTCGACTCCGTCGCGTGCAAAAGCCTTCGTAAAAATCAAATCAACCTATAGGGTAGTGGTGGGAGCTAGTTTGTTATAACTAGAAGCCATCTTTTCGTTGGGACGTACGTAGTCGGTAAACGGGTGTGCTCGTTCCTACCATGATCACAGTCAGCCGAAATTTTTCATTTTCATTAGGAAAGCGAGAAAGGACAGGATATTCGTGGCATCGTGGATGCCTGCTTCCTGCCAAGCTGTCAGCTTCATTGCGTTTTTCTACACTGCTAATTGTCCGTCTTCAGTTAAGAAAAGAGCCTGTTTTGTTATACCTGGTGCAGCTTTCGCCCATTTGAGGCCGTAAAAGAACTGTAACCTGGAAATGATGATTGCACACCTACCGCCACACCACCTTCAAGTTTCACCAAAATTTTTGGTGTGCGAGGCTTCTGTAAATTTTATTTAAGTCCAATCATTGCGTCCATCATCATCATCATCATCATCATCATCATCATCATCATCATCATCATCATCATCATCATCATCATCATCATCATCATCATCATCATCACCACCACCATCATCACCATCATCTGCCGGCTGACAGGCTCGGACACACCATTGACACCCGCATAAACTGATAGTTGCGGCTGTGTAAAAGTTGCATCATGACAGTAGTACACCATCCTGCGCGCGCTACCGGTTGTTCTGGCTGATGGTGGGTTCTTATACCAACGATCGGGTCTCGTTCCTCCAAACGGCTTTCTGGAACGCTGCCTCGCATCTTCTGGCGACTCCTGACTACGCCGCTTTTCAGACTGCGTCGACGTTTTTATGTTTCCCCTGACCGATACACTCTTCTCACACGACACAGTGATTGTCAGAAGTTTCAGTAAGGTTGGTTAAACTGAGAAAGAGGATATTGTGTGTGTGTGTGTGTGGACTGGCTTGACTATTCCCGTAGTGAAGAACCTATCGCGTGCATCCAAGCGCAGCTATCGCCGTTTTTCACTTTGTACCCATTTTAATTCGGGTCTTAAATTCTCAAGGCTGTCCTGCGTGACATTAAAGACCATGTAGGCTGGGATGACTACCTCCACTGCTGTGCAATTTAACAAAGTTCTTAACCTGGGCTGGACATGTTGGCTCTGACTTTTGACTTCTGCCTGTGACATGTCAGTCCTGTAGTTGGTCTTATCTCAACTTCCTACGTTTCTCCTGCCAGCCCACCCGAATTACGTTTGTCACTTGAACGACAACATTTCCCAGCGGATCCCATTTTTGTGCGCGTACTCTCTGAAGACGGTTAGGATGTTTTTGTTAATTATGGGTTTTATTAGTCGCTCCACCTTGGAGATTTTCTCGAATGCTTCTAATATCCATTTGGTGGTTTTGTGTGATCATCTGAATCCTCTCCTTCCAGTCATTTCCCTGGATTTCCGAGCAACTCACTGAGCGGAATGCAGTCCTCGGCCTTCCTGAAGCACTACAAGGACCAATCTGTTTGGACCGACTGGATCCCAACGGAAATTGTTCGTCATTACGACAGGTCTGGGACCTGAGAGTTCACGACTAGACTGATGTGATGGGTATGTTTCCGAACATCCCTCCTAAGCGATTTTCTAGATTGGGCCCAAAACTTACTGGGTAAGTCTGCATTGCCTTTGACTTTGCTGTGGGCAAAATCTTCATCATTTTGCAAAACCAGACTGGTTGCCTGACCCTTTTAGTTAATGGCGGTGTGTATGGGTGAAAGTGACGACTTTGTCCCAATTTCATTTAGCTCGATTGGCATGGGCTGTTTTGATCTGTCATTCTGGATCTACCACTGCCTCTCAGCTTCTGCTGGGCGGGATCAATGAGAATGATGCACGAGCATCAATCGACAAAACCCATCTTTTAATAACGCTCGTACTGTGTAACCACTAAGTGTAGCAAATCGACCCCAATCCCACCCAGCCTACCCTGCCAGCCCAGTCCGGCCTAATTGGGCCGGGTTAGGCCACATGGTTGGACCACGGTGTGGCAAGGGCGTATGTGGCCCAATTGGCCCGATCTCCCAAAAAGTGCTCAGGGGAGCTCGCCTTTCAACACTTTCCCACTTCCCGTTTCTCGATATCGAAACCGTCGGCGGACATGCATCAGCTACCGAGCCACTACTCATTATAGCAAATCGACCCCAATGACGCCCAAAGTAGGATTTTCCCAAACCACCCAATTATTTATAAAAGCATTTGCTTGTCGACGCAGCCACGAGTACAATAACGTAAGTAGGTTAATTATGTAACGTTCCCGTCCAGAGCGAGTATATACTCAACGAGGCCAAACGGGAAACTAAGGGAGGAATCGTAATTACAAAAATAAACTGAATCTGGGGCGATTGTCCCCTGGGGCGGCTGAGAGCACTGGGATCCAGCGGAGAAGGCGACAGGGGTTCCTCGTCCGAAGAGCGGCGACTAGCCACGGTGTCCTCGAAGGTTAATCCTCGCCCGTATTTATAGCTTCTACAGGGGCCAAGGGCCTCAAGGTTGAATCCGCCATTGTTGATTGGTTGAGGGTAGGTCAGGGAGGAAAGTTAGACAAACTCAAGCCAGGGCTATTTGGGATTAATTTAGGGCTATATTAATTTATTATATTCATACTTTTTATGAAAAGCCAGATTGCGATTTAGTGCCTGGCGTATAAATATGGAGAACTTCGTCGCGCGCGCCCCTTTAGGGCGCGCTTTCGAGAACCTTCTACAAGATAGCGGCACGTGGTCTAGTTTTCTAGAACTTCCTACATTGTTTCCGCTCTCGAGAAGGGTTTGCTGTCCTCAGCAGGATCGTCTAGTGTAGTATCGGGTCCACCATCTGGTAGCACTTCGACATTCTTCCCTACCTGATGTCCATCTCTAAACACCTCAACCGAAGCATAACCGCCCTCTGGGGGAACCTTTAAATACTGTTCAACTAGTTGGTCTTCATATGCGTGGGACGGGCCGGCCCCCGGGTCGGCACGATCTGTGTCCTCCTCTGTCGATGGACCTGGCTTTAAACGGTTTAAATGTACTGTAAACTCTTCCGAGTATGGCCTTTCCTGGCTGCGAACGACGCAAGTCGTGTCGGAGAGGACCTTTCTAACTACATACGGGCCTATCCATGCTGAGTTAAATTTCGGAGGTACACCCGGCGACGCATTGAAATTTCGCATCCACAGGATGTCTCCTTCCTGGTATGTGGTCCTATCTGCTAGGCAATCATAGAATGATTTTTGACGGCCGGTACTGCAGATAGGGTCAACACTCCTCAACAAAATGCGTAAGTGCGAGCACCTCTTTTTGCGGGTGACACAATAGCGCCGCTCGGCTTTGGTAAGTGTGCGACTAAGATACTGGATGACACGTTCGGTGCCGTCACGTTGTTGCTGAGACAGGGCGGCGCCTATAGCCGTGTCGCTGGCATCGGTATCCAAGGTGAACTTCCCAGCATCATGACTAATATCAGGAAAGACTAGGATTGGAGTGGAACATAGTTTATCCTTCAGCGTCTGGAAGCTATTTGTGCAGTTAGCAGTCCACTTAAACTGGACGTTTTTCTGCGTCAGCTTGTGGAGCGGCCCGGCGATTTGGGCGTAGTCTTTGATAAATCGCCCGTAATAGGAGGCGAGGCCCAGAAAGCTGCGGAACTTGGTCACGTCTGCGGGAGTGGACCACTCAGGGATTTGTGTGACCCTTTCTTCATCAGTCTCTATCCCCGCGGCCGAGACCACATGACCTGAGAACTTCACGCGTGGTTTTATGAAAACACTTTTGGATGGTTTCAGGGTCAAACCTGCCCGCCGGAGACTGTTAAACACAGCCCTGATATTCTTAGGGTGGCTATCAAAGTCCTTTCTGAGGACAATTATATTTTCAATGTAGACTAGGCACGAGGTTGGAAGTAGCTGTGCAAGGACCTGATTCATTAACTTCTGAAAAGTGCTGGGGACGTTGGTTAGGCCGAAGGGCATAATCTCGAACTCATAGATTCCGGAGGGGACCGCGAAGGCGGTCTTTTCCCTATCAGAGGGACGCACTTCGACTTGGCAGTAACCTGAAGCTAAATCCAGCGTCGTAAACATAATATTGTTAAGAACATGAACACCCGATCTCTGGGACAGTAGGTGTATTTGTCTGAGCTTTCAGTCTCGTACAGGAGGCCATCGTCAGAGACTATGAGAACGCGACATCAAATGAGCAGTTTTTGTAGTCAAGCCATGAAGGGGTGGGCGTATGAGTGCAGAGGGTGGTATTCGCGATAAGTTGAGTCCCACGCCGTCTCACGGTGGCGTGACTGAGTGCACCCTTGGCCGCGGGAACGGAGCGCGTAATAGCAGGGGGTGGGAGGTATGTCAACGTGCCAGACCCCCAGGCCTCCAACAGTTCTCGCCCTGTCTTATTGTTGGTCCGCGCCACTATCCGCGTGCTCGCGAAGTTCAATTCGTGGCCTTCCTCCAGGGTGTGAGTGGCAACCTGAGGCAACGGATCGCCCGTTTGTGCTCCGCGTGCCGTCTGCCAGATCCCATGTCGGGACTGCCCTCGCCAATACACTGGACAGACCGGACGACAA